TCCGCTCTGGACAAGAATGCTGGAACACCACTTGATTGAGGAGGAAGTATCCAACAGTAGTTGCAGAGGCACTAGCAAGAGCACCAACTTCCACCCAACAAGTCAAGTAGTCAGAAGCAATAATAACATACTCATTGCCAGCAGTCGACCGTGGAAAAGGTCTCATAAGATCAAACGCCACTAACTCAAACGGACGGGAAACCGCAATTGACTTCAACCGTCCTTCCGCAGCACGAGGGGGAGTATTATGAGCTTGGCACCAAACGCAGCTACGCACATACCGGATAATATCACGTCGCATCTCCGGCCAATAAAAAGACCTGCGCAGCTTCTCAGTAACACGACGGTGTCCCATATGCCCACCTAGAACAGGAGAATCATGGTAGGCATGGAGAAACCGCGGAATAAACACCGAAGGCACCACAAGCCGTAAATAATCATCAGGATCCGTCCCCACAAAATAAAAAAGGCCATTTTCAAGGCGATATTGAGAATGTAAATGCCGGAAAGGCAAGTCATCAGCAAGTGATGCAGGATTCTCAAATCCATCTCGAAGCCTTCGAATCCACAGCTCAATCTTTTGAGCATCGCGAACCTCATCAAGAGAAGGTAGATCTTGCTCTGTGCCTTGTGGACACTGAACGTCAAGGACAGCAACCGCCAATGGCACAGAATCCTCATCTAGAAAATCCACAGATGTTGGAACAACAGGTTCGTCAGAAACATGAGAAGTGAGTGGAGAAGGAAGAGGAGCTCGAGAAAGGGCATCAGCATCAGCCATAGAACTCCTTGGGCGATGAACATCGAAATTATATATTTGAAGTTTCAAAGCCCATCGAGCCGTACGACCAACCAGGTTCTTCCGCTTCAATAATGAAGTAACAACAGCATGGTCACCTTCAAGTAACATCCGAGAACCATGTAGATATGCATGAAGTTTCTCGAAACCCCAGACTGCTGCTAAACACTCCTTCTCCGTCGTGGAGTAGTTCATCTCCGCTAGTTGTAATGTACGGCTTATGTAGGCAATGGGGTGGCGCTGACCAGGCACACTCGAGCTCTCTTGCATCAAAACACCTCCAAGACCAATGTCAGAAGCATCTATGCGCAAAATAAAAGGTCGAGTGTAGTCAGGATATGCCAAAACCGGATGAGTCGTCAATAGCTCCTTGAGATCCACGAACGCCCGCTCACAATCCGGAGACCAGATGAAAGATGACGTTGATGACTTCAGCAACGCTCGCAATGGTGTAGTGCGATCGGAAAGATGATCCACAAAACGACCGAGATACTACACCTTACCCAAGAAGCGCTGCACATCATTCACACACTTCGGAGTAGGGAACTTTAGAACACTAGAACTTTAATTCTTCATATTTAATTTTTGGCATGTTTGTTTTGGCGGTAGAATTTAGTTTTAAAGTCTACTTGATGATTAGTGTCATTTGAAATTTCTTCAGAAACAATTTAGTACATAAATATGGTTAAAGATCTTAAAGTACCTAATCATTGACCAAAATCAAAATCCAACATAATGGGACAGGTAAGCGCTAAAAGTAACGGTGGCGATTGCACCCCCTTTCTCCACTTTATTGCTAGACGAGGCAGCGGCAGCAGGCCGACCCACAAACTCCACGTCCTTGGTCAAAATTTTCCCTCATTACAAACCCAAAGGTGGTGGCCCCTAAAAAAACACAACAAGGCTTGAAACATATAAAAGAGAGGCAAGCATTATTTTTTGCTTTTTGCTTCCTGGTCCATGCAGTGTACACGTAGACATGTAAAGCGCTGGCGCCCTCCAATCCTCACCGTTGCTGCAAAGCAATCTGACGCCTGCGGCGCTAATCACCCGCTAATGGTAATAAACTCCACCTCGGTTAACACAAATCCTATTTGTTTTCCCGAAGGGTGGCGGTGGCACATAGCAGTCGTTGGCCCGCGGCTAATTGTGATTAGCCTTTAATCTCACCTTAAGCCACCATGGATTGGACCGCTGGGGGGAAATAATTTCCACCACCCAAGTCGGTTTATACATTTTAACCCTCATTGTTCTTCTTTTTGCCGTTTTTTCTTCTCAATCTTTTTTTTTTTCTTACCTTTTGGGCTCTCTCTCTCCCATTGTTTGCCCTTTCTTTTTCGTGTTAGAGGTGAAAGTCGTGCATCGCACTCTTACTTAGAGAGTTAGGCCATCAACTCAAAGAGAGAGGAGAGAGTTGGGTTGGGTTTCTTCTTTCTTTCTCTTTCTTTCTATTAAGTGGTGTGCCCCCGTGTGCGTGTGCGTGAGTTTAAGCGTCCACCACCACCACCATCCATGGCGTCGAGGGTGGTGCGCTAGTCCCCTCGCTCGTTTCGTCTAGCAAAAGGTGGCAAGCAAAGATTTGGAGGCTTTTGGGGCCGCCGCTCTCGCCGATTCCAGCGATTGGGGAACTGGGCTGTGCTCGCCGCCGCGCCTCGCAAGGTTTAGCGCCGACCCATTTGCTCGGCCGCCTCCATTGGATCCCAGGGAATGCTCCAAAACGCTACACGGGTAAGTCTCTCTTCTTTCTTGCTGCCTGCGCTTGGGCTTTCTTTCTCTGCGTCTATCTGGGGGAGAGGTTTTTTTTTTTCCTTCGTGTTCTTGGTTGGAGGAGAAAGAGGTTGAAACAATGGCGCAAAGTTATTCATGTAAGTTCTTGTTTTCGATGTTCTGAAGAAATGGTTTTCACTTTGGATGTCGCCTCATAGTTTTTGTTGTCGTGATATGCTCGAATGATCACGATTTATGAAAGTAAGTATGTGAAATGTTTTGCTACGGTGGTCACGCGTTTGTTTTGTGGTCGTAGATGTTTAAAGAGCTGCCGGATTGAGCGACAATCGTCTTGAGCAGCGAAGACGAATTCCAGAAATTCGCCTTGACGGGAAAGCAAAAAGGTTCTTTGGTTTTGTTTTGTTTTTTTTCTTTTTCTTTTTCTACCAGGAGCCGCCAGAAAGTGGCGCAGTCTTATCGGCGGCTTCCAAAGGCCGCGGCGAGGGAGCGCAAAGACTGCGATCGCGGATGGAGAGCATGTTCATGAGCTTTGCCTGCTAAGGTCACAAATTCTAAAGTGGAACAAGGAGACCACGGCCGCAGCAGCGTGAGATCTTCGGCGCGGAGGTCTCGAATCCGACCTACGAATATGGCCCAGGAATGGTGCAGCGTACCAGCGGATCACGAGGCATTGATTGATTTGAAGAGTAGACTTTCATCCCCATCATGAATATGTCTACCGTACTGTTGAGTAGCAATCCTCTGGGAGGCAAAATCTTCTATGTACATAGAATCTCAAAATCTTATATGTACATAATGTGTATAATTCTTGAATAATAGACAGACTTCGCCAATGCTCCAAACAGGTGTGTGTGTTCCTGCCAGCCCAGGAAGTCTCGTTAACTTACAGACTAGCTCAGGATTAACAATACCTGTTTGTGTGGCGTTCATCCTCCTTTCTGGATCATCTAGGTGCCCTGAGGGACGGGCGAAAAATCACTGCTTGTGAATATTCATCTACGTGCCCCCCTACTCCGCCCCAATCCCCTGTGCTCAAGTCGTAAACAAACATGAGCCCTATCTCTGAAAAGATCACCAGATTGGCCTCTGCATGAACAGAACAACGGAAAACCGCTCCCACAGAGCGCTGCCCAGCGTACACTTGACGAAGGATCGATATATGGGTCTTTGCAGAGACGGCAACCAAGCCACCCTTGTCGTCAACCTTCCACACGCCATAGCCATCAACTCCGGACTCCCCTGCCTCGCGGTAGCCTCCCGCATACACCCAGCCACTTGCCAAGTATCGCTGGCCATTGTACTCCCACAGCCTCGCGGTGCACAGTCCCGGGAGCGGCAAGACGCAGCGCAGGATCTCTCCATCCGGGTCAACCTTGTCTTCCAGGCCTGTTGTAATCCTCAGGCTGCGCACGAGTTCCCCGGTGCTCCACCTGCCGCGGCCAAAGTCGTAAAATCCCAGGATGGTGAGATCGTAGAAGTAATCGTCCAAGCCTGGGAATACAGCAGGGGGTGCCATGTCCACGCTGTAATCTGAAAGCCGCTGCGCCTTCATTTTGACGTAGGCTGGCGAGAACGGGAGCTTGGGGAGAGAAGACCAGGAGCGCGTTGCCGAGTCGTAGATGCAGCACCAGTGGCCTGAGAAGTCGACAGCGGTGTAGTGCAGACCGACTTTGAAGCCATTCTTGTCGACGAACATGGCAAAGTCGATCACTCCCGCTAAAGTGCATCTTTCTCTGTCCTCCCAATGGAGCGGTGGTAGTTCGCTCCACTCTTGGGTCACTGGATTCCCCACCACCAGGTGAAACACATCATCAGCAGGATCAACCATGCCCCTGTGCGTCCTGAAGACGCATACCAGGCCACCCGCGGAAGCAACCACTTGAGCGTTAGGAAATTCTTCCGTTTTGTGGGGCAACGGAAACTCCACGCTGCGTTGGGGCCGTGATGGATCCCAGGCGTGGCAACGCTCGCCGTAGTCGAAGGAGCTAGTCATAAGCCGCAAGGATTCCTTGTGGCCACTGTTTTGGCACCAGCGGCGGCGAAAGGATGGATCGCCGATGATGGCGTTCCATGACTTGCAAACGGCGGAACATGAGGTCGCTAGTGTGGCCAGGTCCACATAGCTGAGAACCGTCTCCAAAACGTCGTCTTGCAGCAACACAGGCGCTTCATTTCTCCGTTTCTTCATCACAAGGGCAATACCTAGAAGAGTGACCTTATAGTACTGCAAAAGGGATGCAAGGAGCTCCATAAAAAACCTAACTTTCGCGGAAGCAGAGTGAACGCTTGATCGATTAAAAAATCTCATTTTCGGGAAGCTCAGCTTCTTCTTTCTGAAGTTATTCCCCATTATCTGTCCTCACTGGTTTGTGCTTCTCCAGTTGAAACCGCCAACCCTCATTATCCGGCCTCGTTCTCTCTTTAACCATCTAACAAAAACAAACGCGAGCAAACTTACTTTGAAGGCTTTGGCTCGAGCAGACAATGAAAGTGTTCATTGTAAAGTCATGACGTGGTAAACATCCACCTGTGACGTTCTTCCAGTAAGATTGAACGTCGAAAACACGCCGCGATCTCTTCAAACCTTGGTCTAGCACAGGAAAAAATAAAAACTTTTTTCTCGGGTTCTTTGAGCACAGAGAAAATATGTACGTACTACACCATAGCTTCGTCGCTTATCCCCCCAAACGGGATTTGCAGCGGATGATCCAAGTGTTCTTGACCTGTCAAGTTGACAAATTGCACCTGAACGACTGCTCCATCCGACCACCACTGTGTAAGAGAATGAGCGTCTCGAGCACTCGCAGCTTTGCCGTCATCCGCTGGGACGTGAAGCCTTGCCGAGGGGATGAGGTGATGCGGCTTCGCTTTGGAGGAGCAGAGCACGCCCCGGATGGATTCGTGAGGCATCGCCAATCTCGCGTACTTCCCCTGTAGCATATACTGATAGTTCTTGAAGTGCTCGAGAAAGCCCGAGCATACCGGATCACTGGGATGAACATACATGTCCGGGTACCAGCTTCCAAGTGCCGCAAACTCTGCCTCGGACTCCCTTCTCTTTGCGGCATCCACCAGCAAGTTGACGAGCCCGGCCTTTGCAACGGTGTAAACCTCTTGGAGATTGCTGTAAGTCTCAGCACCGAAGAGTGACTTGTATGGAGCGGTCGAGGACGAGAATGGAGGATTGAAGAGATGAGCCTCGACGAACTGGCCCTGCGATGCCATCATCCGAGCGGCGGAGAGCGCCACCGCTGCTCCGAGCGAGTGCCCCGTGATGCAAACGTTGTCCTTGCCATGCCATGCGACGGCGTTTCGGAGAGCGTTGTACGCGGCTGTGAACCTGCCTGTCTTGTAAAGCTCCTGGTTGGCGATCTTGAAGTCGACGATGTAGTTGCTGGTTAGGCTGTCCGTGCCTCTGAGCGCCAGGACCACCATCGGAGCTCGGGCAGGCTTCCAGTGGTTTTTGTAGTTCCACACGAACACTGCGCCGTTGATCCGGAGCTTGTCATTGCCGAGGATCACGTCGAGGAGCTCGTAGTTGAAGGACGTCCACCAGGGAGGAGCGAGAGCTTGCGGAGTTCCTGTGTAGTTTTTCGATCTGTCGTGCTGGAGTGAGTACACGCTTGACACAAGGCATGCCAAGATTGCTCTTTTGTCGTCCGGAACATCCCTGGAAAGAATGTATGGTAAGAACTCGCGAGGAATCGAGATAAAAAGCTTTTAAAGGACGAGAACTCTAACCGGACCAAGTCTTTAGCAGCAATGAAACAAAAAAGTAGACAATGAACTCAAGCCCAAGCAAGCTTTGCGAAACAACAAAAAAAAAGAATGGAGAAGTGAGGACCAATCCACTAAAGACTAGCCATCGAACTACTTATCAATCAGCACTTAGCACGCAAGTGAACGAAAGAGACACCAAAATGGGACAAATGAAAGGCTATGATCAAAGACAAGCCTAGGGTAGCTGAGAATTCTCTCGGGGGTGATTGGAATCAATCGAAACGGGATTCTACTGCCAAAATCACACACCCAGCCCGCCAAGAATCGCTTCAAACAGAGCAGTGCAGCTAGGGCGGCGAGATTCTTTACCAGTTGAAGTGCTTGCGCTTTGGCCCCGTGACCTCGAATCGATAGGCATCGTCCTCTGGCATTGGCGATCGGCCCCCGCATGGAACGCTGGCTAGGGCTTGAACGCGTTCTCTCGCATCATGGACACCGCCGACACTTCAGCCAAATTTTCAACAGAACTTGCAAGGGTGGTTCTTATTCCTCAAATGCTTGTTTTGTTATATTTATAGCTATTTAAATTTATGCTAGCTGTTAAACCACTTTTTTAAAATAGTGCGTCATAATGATAAATAAAGGTTTAAGCTATTTAATGAGGCGAAAACTTAGTAACATACACAGTAAAGAGCAAATTGCTTTTTGAACTAGAGTTAAACTGGATACTAATGTCTTGTCTCTTGTTAAACTAAAAAGATAAGTAACTAAATTTATCAAGGAAACATGCTACAACATTGCCACTGGCTCCCCCATTGGTTCCCAGATATATATAATCCTAGCTCCCAAATACCCAAACCCATCCCATACTCACAATAACTTTCAGCATTCTTTATATATAAAGCTTATATCTTACCCTTTCAAATTTGAAAAAAGTTTTTCATCAGTATTAACCACTTTACTTTCTTTCTTGGATGCAGTAGCAGTGAAATTTGATATGAGCACCACACATTCATTCAGTTTGTCATTAAAATAACCTTTGATATTTTAACCCTATAATAAAATGCAACTTAATAGATAGTTGAACTCAACAAATTACATATTTGTATAGTTTTATTAAGTTCTTTTCTAAACTTAAGAATACTAATGAAATAGAACAATAGGATGAGTTTCTTTTTCTCCAAATGGCTAAATTTGCAATTAAAAAATGTGGTGACAATCAAATCTATTATAGCCTAAAATGTCATAAAATCTACATAAAAATTTACTTCATAATTTTCCATTTATCATATAGATATGGGGTTTGAATTAAAGACTTAGGTGAGAAGTGCCTTTATTTAAACCTCCATAAATTTTATGCCTCACTCCTACATGGTAAACACCCCAACCTTATGGCACTAATTTCTCTTTATCCTATATAGCAATTGAAAACACAAAATTAAATATTGTGATAGAATTTTAGCTCTAAAATCTTACTTAGGTGTTTTTAGCTCTCAAAAATGTTTTTCCCCTAAGCCTCAATATTACACTATGATTACTGCCTTCTTCCTGATAGCCATGCCATATATAAGTTATATGTCAAATATATCAAACTGGATTAGTTATGAAACACTTATAAAACACAAATCTTTAAGCCCCAAAGTAAAGTTGAATGTGAGGTAGTGATTGAGGCAAAAGTTCAATGAACATAACATATTTGGACCAAAAGCTTTGACTTAAAAAGTTGAGAGTGGAAATAAACTCCTAAAAAAATGTTTGAGGAATGAGTATAAAATGATTAATAAATGAGTTTTTAAAAAAGAGACAAGAGAATGACTAACATGTGACAATTATTGTAATATATAGAAATGTTGAGATAAAGTCCAAGACTGAGTTCGAAACCCAATCTGAAACAACTCTAAGATCAAGTTTAAAATTAAGTCTAGGATCAAGTCTTAGACCAAGTTTGAGACCATGTCCAAGACCAAGTCCAAGGCTTGATATATCTAGAGACAAACATATTTGAAGGTGGGGTGAAAGCCTAAAGCAATTTTTTCCTAAACATTAAGGGGTTTAATAAGTTTCTATGGGATAATAAGAGGAGGATTCTAAAGAATCAATATGACCAAAAAATGTTATTTTCATATGGTGGGTGATGATGTAAATATTAAGGAGTCCAAGGTTAAAATAAACATGAATGGATAAATTGAATGATTTGTTGAAATGTATAATATTTAGCTCTATCTTTTTTAGGAGATTGAATGGTCAATGCTCTTAATCCAAGTGTGGGTAGCACTATTTGAATATTTTGTATAACTCATCAGAACTTTACTTTAAATACATGATTGGGGAATTTAATAAAAAATGAATGGTCCTTTTGCTTAATAACTAAAGGTATAGTTATGTGGTGAGGAAGGCTCAAAAACTTATTCATTAAATCTTATTAACTCTTGGAACTTGTTCTAATAACAGAATTGGCAAATATTGTTGTGAACAAAAAAGAACTTAATAGGGATTAAAGAAGGAGAAATTATATTCCCCCATATCTTGAGGCATCATAAGGATGTTAAAAAGTGATTATAAAATGAAAGTGTAAATTTGAATTAAATTTAGAAATCTTTAAACTATTTTATATTATACTTTTTTTTTTAGTTTCCTAAGATGCTACTATGCTAGCTTCTTTTTCTTGGACTTATGTATTTTTTTACCAAAGGAATGATTCTCTTTAAAAAAAAATTCACATTTTCCCTTATCTGAAAAAAAATAATAGGATAAAGTGTGTTAACTTTCTTCTTTGAGATTAAATTTTTATTTATTCTTGAAGTTGGCTTAATATTTCTTTAATATGTTTTAAAAGAAGCTAATCCCTACAATCCCCTTTCGCCTTTGAAATCTTCAAAATATAGTATGATTTATATTAGGATTGAAGAATATTTATAGATTTAATATTTTTGTAGTAAAAAATAAGAAATTAGAAAACTTACAAAGATTTAAATAAAGATGTGAGAAATGGACTTATTACCCTAAAAAGAAAATTAAGGAAAGGAGCATCTTATAGTAAAGAAAATTTTACTCTCACAAAATTTATTTAAATAAGCAAAAAATTAAATATTATATCTACCTTCTTCCCTAACCTAATGTATGTCATACACTTATTGGTTGACTCAACATTACAAAAAAAATTCAAAAAAATGCATAGTGAAAAAACAATATTTCCCTTTATTTAATAGCATCAATTGATAAAATTCACAAAGTTCAACAATTTCTCTTATTGTTATAAACTAAAAACTTCTTAGTAAATATTAATTAGTGCCATCTTTAAAACTCTTTGAATAAAAATATATTCAACTCATAAAATGCAAAAAACAAGCAAATATTTATCCACTCTATAATTAATCTTTGCTTCTCAATACATTTTATTATACTAAGCTACTATTACAATAATCTCAATAATGTAATATATCTTGCAATTTATGTACTCTACTTCCTTCTTGGGATTAACAATACCTGTTTGTGTGGCGTTCATCCTCCTTTCTGGATCATCTAGGTGCCCTGAGGGACGGGCGAAAAATCACTGCTTGTGAATATTCATCTACGTGCCCCCCTACTCCGCCCCAATCCCCTGTGCTCAAGTCGTAAACAAACATGATCCCTATCTCTGAAAAGATCACCAGATTGGCCTCTGCATGAACAGAACAACGGAAAACCGCTCCGAAAAAGCGCTGCCCAGCGTACACTTGACGAAGGATCGATTTATGGGTCTTTGCAGAGACGGCAACCAAGCCACCCTTGTCGTCAACCTTCCACACGCCATAGCCATCAACTCCGGACTCCCCTGCCTCGCGGTAGCCTCCCGCATACACCCAGCCACTTGCCAAGTATCGCTGGCCATTGTACTCCCACAGCCTCGCGGTGCACAGTCCCGGGAGCGGCAAGACGCAGCGCAGGATCTCTCCATCCGGGTCAACCTTGTCTTCCAGGCCTGTTGTAATCCTCAGGCTGCGCACGACTTCCCCGGTGCTCCACCTGCCGCGGCCAAAGTCGTAAAATCCCAGGATGGTGAGATCGTAGAAGTAATCGTCCAAGCCTGGGAATACAGCAGGGGGTGGCACGTCCACGCTGTAATCTGAAAGCCGCTGCGCCTTCATTTTGACGTAGGCTGGCGAGAACGGGAGCTTGGGGAGAGAAGACCAGGAGCGCGTTGCCGAGTCGTAGATGCAGCACCAGTGGCCTGAGAAGTCGACAGCGGTGTAGTGCAGACCGACTTTGAAGCCATTCTTGTCGACGAACATGGCAAAGTCGATCACTCCCGCTAAAGTGCATCTTTCTCTGTCCTCCCAATGGAGCGGTGGTAGTTCGCTCCACTCTTGGGTCACTGGATTCCCCACCACCAGGTGAAACACATCATCAGCAGGATCAACCATGCCCCTGTGCGTCCTGAAGACGCATACCAGGCCACCCGCGGAAGCAACCACTTGAGCGTTAGGAAGTTCTTCCGTTTTGTGGGGCAACGGAAACTCCACGCTGCGTTGGGGCCGTGATGGATCCCAGGCGTGGCAACGCTCGCCGTAGTCGAAGGAGCTAGTCATAAGCCGCAAGGATTCCTTGTGGCCACTGTTTTGGCACCAGCGGCGGCGAAAGGATGGATCGCCGATGATGGCGTTCCATGACTTGCAAACGGCGGAGCATGAGGTCGCTAGTGTGGCCAGGTCCACATAGCTGAGAACCGTCTCAATGTCGTCTTGCAGCAACACAGGCGCTTCTTTGCTCCTTTTCTTCATCACAAGGGCAATGCCTAGAAGAGTGGCGAGAAGCACCTTATAGTACTGCAAAAGGGATGCCCCAAAAGGAACTGATAATGGAACAAGATTACCTTCCATGTCCTCGAGCAAACCCTTCTCATAGCATGGAAGCAGAGTGACGCTTCATCGATTAAAAAATCTCATTTTCGGGAAGCTCACTGGCTTGTGCTTCTCTAGTTGAAACCGCCAACCCTCATTATCCGGCCTCGTTCTCTCTTTAACCATCTAACAAAAACAAACGCGAGCAAACTTACTTTGAAGGCTTTGGCTCGAGCAAGACAATGAAAGTGTTCATTATAAAGTCATGACGTGGTAAACATCCACCTGTGACGTTCTTCCAGTAAGATTGAACGTCGAAAACACGCCGCGTTCTCTTCAAACCTTGGTCTAGCACAGGAAAAAATAAAAAAACTTTTTTCTCGGGTTCTTTGAGCACAGAGAAAATATGTAGCCGCGTACTACACCATAGCTTCGTAGCTTATCCCCCCAAACGGGATTTGCAGCGGATGATCCAAGTGTTCTTGACCTGTCAAGTTGACAAATTGCACCTGAACGACTGCTCCATCTGACCACCACTGTGTAAGAGAATGAGCGTCTCGAGCACTCGCAGCTTTGCCTTCATCCGCTCGGACGTGAAGCCTTGCCGAGGGGATGAGGTGATGCGGCTTCGCTTTGGAGGAGCAGAGCACGCCCCGGATGGATTCGTGAGGCATCGCCAATCTCGCGTACTTCCCCTGTAGCATATACTGATAGTTCTTGAAGTGCTCGAGAAAGCCCG